GAAACAACACCAGGAAGCCCACCTGGGCAAGCCTGAAGAAAAACAAAATGAAGACTGTGAAAATACCCAGTCAAAGTAATTACCTAAACAACTCTGCGATGTGACCTTAAAATGACTGTTAACGTTGGAAAACCCTTCAGGGTGAATAAATTACAACAATAATTCGAAAAACAACTCAATGCAAGTTACCACAAACACTCGATGTTTGTCAAATCAATGGGCAAGCACTTTTCCTCAACTTTTTTATCGCTTAATAATAAAAACCTAATTTAAAAATGTGCCTTTTGTTTTGACTTGTATTGTCTTTGACAAATATTTTAATTTTTGCGATTTTCTGAATCGCCACAACAACCAAAAAATAAAAACAATAAAATTCTGAATCACTTCTGTGAAAGTTTTGGACAGCAATGGGTGATCAGATTTTTCTTTGATCAAAGAAATGGAGGAGCAGCTGGTCCACCTGCTCCACAGTTCAGGTGCTCAGTTAGCCATGTGTGCACTGCAAATAATGAAAATCTTTGTAAGTAAATCTTTCTTAAAATAATTGCATTTTTTTATTAAACTGGTAATTTAACACTTTGCCAATACAATAAGGTAATTTACATTTAAAATAAGAAAAATCTACTACACAGTAAATGTTGCAGTGTTAAAGTAAAACGTTAAGAGTACATTTGCTCCCACACTAAGTCAGGATGGGACCAAATGTACCAAGTGTTACTTTAACACTGCATCATTTACTGTGTTAAGCTTCTTATTTGAAGTGCATAATATCTAATTATCTTTTTTAAAGGTAATAGTACTTATTCTATTGGCAGATCATCTTATCTACTACTCAACCTGAAGGTAAATAAACTTATTGTAAGACATTTTTAATCTTTTTTAGAGATTTTGTAAAGTGTGTTGGTTCCAAAAGTTTTGAATTAACAGCCTTGTGCTCATCTTACACGTTTGCCTTGAATTTGAGATTCATCCAAATGTTTAGATCTATAACTGCTGCTAAGTGTTTGTAAATTTATGATCAGAAAATATGTCAAGCAGAAATATTCAGTTTTAGACATTCATGAAGGACAGTGAATCTAACATCCTTGTAGATGAAAAAAAAATCCATTTGTAACATTGCTATGTTTAAGTGGCAGTTGTTTGGCAGTTAAAAATGTGAGGTATAAGTGGTTGGATTTGCATTGGCCCTTTCTTGGCAAATCAGGCATACTGTACAGATAAACATTTTAGATAATGTTGTTTGGCTTTAAAATTACCTTTCTGTCGTTCTAGACAGTGCTATTGGTTTTAAATTAAATTTGTTTAGTCTAATATTTAATTCCATACGTAGTTAAATAAAAAATATTTAATTAAAAGTTGTTTCAATTGGATGAAACAGAAACGAGTGGAATGCAGAAATCAGGCTGTGGATTGCAAGAGTGACAATCTTTAACTGGAATCTGAATCAGAAAAATGTCTTTTTTCTATCTGGGAGAGGATCTCTGTTCAGTTTCTATACACTCATATCTAAAAACTGGATATTATGTGACATCAATAGTCTGCATCTTCTTGATAAAACCAGCATTATGACTTGTGATAAAAGTCCTTTGTCTTCAAGCTTTGTTCACATGGTTTGTGCCGTAAGAGGACTCATGATCATTTCCTGGAAACAATAAAAAAAGAAACAGATATACAGACAATGACAAGTGCAAAAATAAGATAAGGTTGTTTGGCAAACTCTATCAGCAATAGACTTCAAGATTGGTATCTCTCCCATAAGTACAAAGAAAAAGGTTGTGACCTTTTTGATGGCTCAAATGATATAAGGATTTGTGAGGATCATTTTATATTCTAAATGATGATAAGAGAGGAAAAGTTATACTGCAGCCAGGTTGATCGTCAAACACTTCAGCAGATGGTAAAAAAGCAGGGAATATCACTGGAGCTACTCCCTAAGATAAATAGCATCTTGCCGTCTTGCTGCTTGAGGAAAGTGCAGAGCATCCTGATGGTCTAGCATCAGGTGCTCATCATCCTTTTCAAATACTGCCCTCAGAAGGTACAGTGCCAAGAGCATCTATGCACAAGCTGTGAGATTGCTAATTTAAAAGAAGTCTTTGTTCATATTTTATTATTCAAATATGATGAGTATATCAGCAAATAAATTAACCTTAATGTCAATTAATGTTAATGTTAGTGTTTAAAACACTTTTAAAATAAAGTTGGTTTAACTTTACAAATAACAGATCAAAACTTGTCAGCATTAGGGTGGCCATCATGCAGTCACAATAAGCTTGTTGTTGGCTTGCTTTACAGAAATGTAAACACTTGAAATGATCAGAACTAATCAAAAACCCAAATTGTTTAGCTGGAAAGTCTGGCTTTAACTTTGTCATAACTGCTACCTATGTAATCACCATTTGAAAAGGCTGAGGTGTTTCCAAAAGATGCTATTGTACCCATTTAGAAACTAAATTATGACAATAACCTATGTTTCCTCATGGACCAACATTTTCTCAAATATCCTAGTTCGCTGCAATGTTGAGTTCCTTTTAGTAGACTAGATTTACAAGACAAACCAAATTCAGTGACTTTTTCTATAACAAATAAGGAATTGAAACTTTGCATTAACCTTTATAGTTTAGTCTGCCCTTCATCATATTCTTACTAAGGTGGAACCATTTTTAAAGCTTCCAGTTTTGATGCAGTTAAGTTATTAAATATCAGTCAAATAACTTTGAATTTGTCATATTTTGTCCTTTGAACAGAAACCTAAATGGCTTTGGTGTTAGGGCTCTGGCAACTGGACCATGTCTTTCAAATTCTCTTCCACCTCTGACAAATAATCTAGAGATAGAAATGCAGCACAAAAGGCATTTTTAAATTCAAGCCAGTTGTGTACCTTGTTTTTAGCTACACTTCCCCAGTACCGAGCAGAGCCCTTTAGGACAGCTTTTAAGGCTTCCAATAATTCAGGATCAGACAGGGACCTTACTGTTAGAAATGTCTCACACTGATTGATGAAATTTAAGACATCAGAAACCTCTTCTGCACCCTCAAATGTGGGAAACTCCATGTGCACAGGTGGCTTGGAAATAACTACAGATGTTCTGCTATAGGTAGATGCCGCAAGGTCTACTATACCACAGGTAGTTGTTGGCGTGACTGGAACTGTTCCTGGAGGGATTGATCTGTCCTTTGTGGGCATGAAGATCCAAAGACTCCTTGTGGTACTATTTGAACAGGTAGGGCTAAAGGTGGAGATGATGTTTCAGGGATAGTATGTTTCATGGTAGAAGAGAGATGATCAGACGGCACAGGGAGACTTGGTCTGACACTATCAAGGGGATGAATAGCTGTAGAGAGTCTAGCATGCTTCAACCTCTCTATCTCAGCCTTCCACTTCTCATCTCGCTGCAGCAAACAGTCTACTACCTTAGTCTCCAATTCCTTAAAGGCTGTGTTCATGAATTGCTCCAGGACCTCAACATTGCTATCTACACATGGCCTCATGTTTTGCTCCTTATTCAAAGCACTCTCTAAAGATGCCCTAAAATCTTCTTCCAATGAGGTAATCCTAACACCCATGTTGGTGAAATCATTCCTAATACAATTAATGTCATACATAGTGAGATATTCCTCCTGGTCATCTTCTCTTTCTTCAACTTCATTACCTGATACATAAAGGGAGCTAATCAGAGAAGTTATTTCACCTACTAGATTTTTCCTAGTAACCCAGGTTTCTCCCCCTCTGTTGCTTATTGCCTCTTCCTGATCTACAAGAGGACCCGCTGCATTTTCTTCCTCACTCTGATCAGTATCTCTTTCCACAGCATGTTAAATATGTTACATTATAAATTTTAACAAACCAAAAATCCTTCATAACCAATTTATAAGTAAACTCAAACACTCAATTTATATCTGCATGTCCACAAAGGAGTTCAATATCCTCCGAATGCAAAACAAAGTCTTGGAAGTGTTTAAGTCCAAAGTCTAGTTCCAAAATAAAAAATCCAAATGACAAACCCCCCAAAAAACATAAGAAAAAAGAGTGGTACCACTAAAAATACCCCAAAAGAAAAATAAAGGTCCAGATCTCACCGGGAGCATCTTTCTCTACCCTGGGCGGTGTCTTCTTGCACCGGGCGGCGTCCTCTGGGTGCAAACTCTGATAAGTTTTCTAGATGCCTGGTCTTTGGCAGTGGGACTATCTTTGATTGCTGTTTTATCTCTTTTCTTTTCTTTTTTATCTTGTTTTTAACATACAACCAAACATAAACTCCTGCTGCACAGATCTGAGAGTGTGCTTCTTCCTCTCCGGTCAAGCCGCAAGTGCCGATGCACACGCCCCTTTTTGTTAACAAATTTTCTCCACACCAAAAAAAAAAAAAACGCATTTTAATACCCAACATCATTTTTAACCAGTGGAGATTCACAATAATATTACCAATGAAATAATAATGGTTCTACCAAACAGTTTGTTATCTGTAAACTTTAATGTACTTCATACAAGAAAATAAAATAACATAGTGGTTATGTTATAACATAGGAGAACTTAACTTTTATAATATGTTAACTGGATTCCCCAGATATTTTCATCTTGATTTCATTACATCAATCACATCTTTATTAAAGCACATGTGAACAGCTAGTAGATGTATAGATAACACATTTATAGAAAATGGATAATTTAACAAATAATCAAAACATTTTTCATGAGCACTGTAATTTATAAGTTAAGTTTAAAAAAAGTCTAATTTTGACTAGAAAGGTAAGCCATTGATAGATGTATCAAGTCCCCTGAAATAATTTCACAACTCCTAAAGAAAAACAAGCAAAAACGTACAAATGGAATATTAGGAAATAGTTAATATTTGATTCATAAGTATTTGAAAAAAAAAATTAATTGCTAATAAAGTTTAACATTAGTCTTAGATGCCATCTAAAGTGAAGTAAAGCCATTAGTTTGATTCATTTTAGTTTAAAGCTGTTAAACCTTTATCTTTATATAACCTAAATCCTTATGATTTGGTCATGAAATCAATCTTGACAGAACCTTTTGATAGTGAAGCCATGTCAGTGGCTGTAGCTGTTATCTCTGTTGAACCAAACTTGATTTGCAGCTTGACTTCACGTTTTCTCCCCCCTTTGACAATGGGCATGTCTACTTCAAATGAAGCGACTTCCTCTACTCCCCACTCATCAACATACTTCACATTTTGCCTTTCTGTGCGGAAAAATGTTAAACTCATGGCTGTTTGTTCTGCTTCGACTGCATATAAGGTGTGCTCTTTGATCTCATCCCAAGAGACATCATCACCTTCTGACACAAGTTTCATGAAAACATCACCACACATTTCACGCCCATCAGCTAGAAACTTCTTTTCTGCTTTATGCTTTGATTGATCAAACATCTCAGCAATTTCAGTCCCATAGGTGTAGGCACTTTTTCTAGAAGCAACCAGCTCTGGGTTTTTCCCAAACTGTACAGCTCCCTTTACAATTGCCTCCTGAGCTCTGAATGGACACAGCACTTTGCACTTATCAGCAAACTGATCAGAAATGTGCTGCCGCAGGATTTGGCTTCCAGCATATCCCCCCACTAGTAGAATAAATTCAATTCTGAAATCTTTCTTAAAGATTTCATTGAGGCTCTCAGTGATGCCCTTCAGACTCTCTGCAAAGAAAAATCTCATTTTCTCTTTTGAAATTCTTATTGATCCCTCATTCCAGAAAGCACCTTCCACAGACTTAAAGAAGTCTTCTATTTCTTTCTTTTTCTGAGCCAGTTTTCCCAGATTATAAGGACAGGTGATCTGAACATCTTCATCTACTTGTTTGAGACGTGTAAAATCATACATCATTTTCTGAACCTCACTGGGATAATTTTTTTCATATTCATCCCAGACTCCATCACAGAATATTTCTCCAAGAAACTCTTTGAACTTTTTGTCCACAGTTTGTCCTCCCAGATCATTTCCAGAAGCCTTGTGTAGCTCCTTTAGAGCTCCTCCTTCCAGAACTTCGTGAACAGTGATGTCGATGGTTCCTCCTGAAACAGAGACAGAGGTTATAACAACTTCCAGAGGTTTTTATACAATGCTTTATGAGACACAAAGTACCTTGTGTTTTTTTTTTTTTTTTTTGCTTTATTTTCTTTTCACATCCATATACTGATTTACTAATATTAATAATATGTAAGAATAATATTTATCATCTTTTGATAAGATTTATATTTCATTACCTCCACAGTCAACTACAATATACTGTGTCCCTGGAGACTCATCCAAGGAATCTCTATTGTGGTTCGGTGTAATGAATCCATCTGATGGAAGCTTCTTACACCAGACTGAAGCTGCTTCTGGTTCAAGTGCAATGATCAGTTTTTCTTCTGTGTCTTCAGTCACAATACCTGCCTGGTAGAGAGATGAAGACGCTGATCCCTCTGAACATTTAATAACCTCCCTGTAATAAATTATGTTACCTCAGTTGCAGCTTCTCTCATGAACTGTTTGGCTGAAGGATCCCAGATGGCAGGGACAGTGAGCACCCAGTTGAAGTCAGAGGCCAAAAACTCTAGTCCTGCTACATTGGAACTGATGGTTTTCAAAGCATCTTCCTTCAGGAATCTTAGAGCTTCTGTAAAAACCTTCAGAGCTGTCATTTCCTTCCCATTGGCTGCTTTAATTGTCACATCCCTGACGAGTTTCTAGGGACATATGATAATGGTTTAGTAATATATGTCTTGGCTGTACAATTCTTTATTTACTTTATCACAAATAGTTACCAGACAAACAACAAAGTCTTTAAATGCAAAAATAGTATTTATTTTTTATTTGAATCATTGTTGCATTTCTGAAAAAAAAGTTTTTCAAATGAAATTAACTAAGCAGCATCATTCCTGCAGCTGCACGATCATTTTGCAGTATATAAATGAACATATTATGCAGCTTCATATTATAAAGCACTTCTAAAAATGTAAAAATCTAGACTTACTCTGCCATAAAGAGCCATCTTGAAGTTCTCGAAAAAATAATGTTTCTTTGCATCTTCTCCTCTCATCTTGATGTATGCGGTTTTGGCCTCATAGCCAAACTTCATGAATTCTCCATGTTCGTCAAACAGGATGCTGGTTGGGGTCTTTGGGGTTTCAAGTCCATGCTCCTTTCCCCACTTTTTCAACATGGGATCAATTTCTCCTTCAATGGAAGTGATATTATAGGCATAGCCACTGTATGCAGTCCCAAAGTCTATTGCAATAATAAATGATTCTGCCATTGTTAGTCCTGTTTGACAGGTTGACGTCCAGAGAGCAAATGCCAGAGGATAAACCAGCAGCAGATAGGAGTTACCTATGTGTAAGCCTCGCCTCTTCTGCTGTTTTTTTTTTTTTTTCAATGAACACCTCTAAAGTTAAGAGCTAAACCAAAATTGTTGGGAGCATAAACTTGTATGGATATTGTGAAACGGAATCTTACTGATATTCTTTTGTGTCTATTTATACAAACATGAAAGAAAATCTCATGAACTTTGCTCTTGGACAAATAAAGTTCCTACCGCTGTGTGGGAATTTGTATTACTTGTGCCCTGGTTTTACCTATCTAAAGCCCACCAGCTTAGTTTTTAATATTTTTTGCAAAGAAACTGTTACCACTTTAACTAATTTATTTTGCACAGGTGTTTCTCAGGGCTGTTAATATACCTTGTTATCTTTGAAAATTTTTTCAGACAGCTATGACTCCTGCATTTTACAACAATGTTATTATCAGAATCAGAAATACTTTAATAATCCCAGAGGGAAATTACTCTTGTTAAACACTCCAGTTACAGTTTTACATAGTATATACACACATCCAACTATACAATATAAAAAATAAGAATAAAAGTGATAAAATATATACACATAGAACTCTTCTGTGTATATATCTGTACGTATATCTTTGAATATGTAAAAACTCAATCCAAATAAAGTGAAAATCCAAGTAAAGTGATAAATCCAAGTAAAGTGATACGTGGCATGCAAAAATAGTGCATAAATGTCAATAACGGGGGGGAGGGGAATCACTTGAGGGAGGAGGCGTTATAGAGATTGATGACCACAGGTAGGAATGATTTCCTGTGGCGCTCTGTGGTACATCTGGGTAGGAGGAGTCTTCTGCTGAAGGAGCTCGTCTGCTGGACCAGTGTGTCATGGAGAGGATGTGAGTCATTGTCTAAGATGGACTGAAACCTGGACAGCATCCTCCTCTCTGCCACGGTGGTCAGGGTGTCCAGCTGCTCCCCCACAACATCACCGGCCCTCTTGATCACTTTGTTCAGTCTGTTGTTTTCAGCGACCCTCAGCCCACTGCCCCAGCATGTGACAGCAAAGAAGAGCGTGCTAGCAACAACAGACTCATAAAACATCCTAAGCATAGTCCCACAGATGTTAAAGGACTTCAGCCTCCTCAGGAAGAATAGTCGGCTTTGGCCCTTTTTGTAGATCGCCTGGGTGTTTATAGTCCAGTCCAACTTATTGTTAAAGTACACTCCCAGGTACTTATACTCCTCCACAGTGTCAACAGGAACCCCCTGGATGGAGACAGGGGTCGCAGGTGTTTTTGTCCTCCTCAGATCCACTATTAGCTCCTTAGTCTTTGTCATGTTGAGCTGCAGGTGGTTCAGCTCACTTCAAGTGACAAAGTTGCCCACCACAGTCCTGTATTCACTCTCCTCACCCTTTTCAATGCAGCCAGCAATTGCTGAGTCATCAGAAAACTTCTGAAGGTGGCAGGACTCAGAGCAATAGTTGAAGTCCGAGGTGAAAAGGATGAAGAGGAAGGGGGAGAGGACAGTCCCCAGGGGAGCCCCAGTGTTGCTGACCACCCTGTCAGACACACAGTTCTATAGGCGTACATACTGTGGTCTGCCCGTCAGGTAATTAACACGATGGGGGCCTCCACCTGCATCGCAGTCATCTTCTCACCTACTAGAGCCGGGGGGATGGTGTATTGAACATCCTGTAACACAGGGAAATACCCGGATTATGACCGAGGACGTGGCCCTAAAACCAACTAGTAGACCTCTAAAAATAACATCAAGTGGCCTAGGGTCTCCCAATTAAAAGTACATAGGTAGGTCTGGCTTAAAATGAGGAAACAGAATTAGTATACATATTATACATTTTATTTATGCATTCTTTTACATTTAGAAGACAAACTTTATTATTCTACTTTAAAATCCAACAAGGCACAGAAACCCATGACAAAACAAGAAGCAATCTGAGACTCTAGAAACACACTGCAAACCACGTTAGTAACACACAAGATAAGACACGATCATACTAAGTTAGAAAAAAAACAAATCTCATATTGCGTCCCCCAGTCCTGTAGAGCTGTGCCCAATCAGCTTATTCATTAAGAAATAAATTGTCATTCTGGTTCTGTAGTGACCGTGCTACAACCCCAACTCTAGAGAAAACCTTCTACCAAAACCAAGAGCATCTAAAAAAAAAAGGGTCCGATTGGTGAGAGCATAATATGCAACAGCAGCAATCTTCATCAGCCACACACAGGGGTATATGCAGACGTTGCAGTGAAAACCCACAACTCTTCCAGCAGCCCCAATATCCAGATCCGAATCCTAGTGTAGCAGCACGGCTCCCAACGCTCATTCAACAGAATCTACTGCACACCAAGCGGAGCCGACTCTCATAGCTTGCTCGGCACACCTGGTTCCTATATACGCTAATGAGCCTGCTGTAAAACGGAGGTGAAGGTAGAGAAACGGGGCATTGATGTGTTCAAGGGCCCGAAACGGGTGGTAATTTACACCCGGTTACAATACCACAATTTTTCTCAGAAAATATATTTCTAGAGGTCCTATTGACATGATATTTTCACCAGATTTCAGTAACAATCCATGCAATCTACACATACAAAGAAATCAAACCATAGATGTGCAACTATTAAGTTATGAGGACTAAAATGAAATGGCACAAGGAAAGATTATTGAACACACTTACTGGAATGTTTTTAATACTTTGTACAGGCCCCTTTGTTGGCAATGACAGCTTACATACAATACACTTCTGTACAGAGAAATAAGTTGCATGCATTGCTCAGGTGTAATTTTGGCCCATTATTCCACACAAACGTTTTCAAATCTTGAATGGGCCTCTTCAATGAACTCTGATCTTTAGTTCATGGATTGGATTGGATTTAAGACAGGTGATTGCTTGGGCCATTCTAGCAGCTTTATTTTCTTTCACTGAAACCAATGGAGAGTTACCATGGCTGAATGTTTGGGGTCATTGCTGAAATATCCACCCACATTTCATCTTCATCATCCTCGGAGATGGCAACACATTTTCCCATCCATCTGTCCTTCAATTATTTGAAGTTTGGCTGTACCATATACTGAAAAACAGCCCCACACCGTTATGCTCCCACCTCCCCACTTCACTGTTGCTATGGGGTTTTGGGTTGATCTGCATTGCCAATTGACCTCCAAACTTGATGTGTATTATGGCATCCAAAGAGTTCAATATTACTCTCATCTGACCAGACTATACTCTCCGAATATTTACAGAGTTGTCTAAATGTTGTGCAGCAAAATTTAAATGAGCTTCAACATGCTTTTTCTTCAACAAAGGAGTCTTGCGTGGTGACAGTGCATACAGGCCATGGCAGCTGGGTGCATTACTTATTGTTTTCTATAACAGTAGAGTTATTTAAAATTAGAGCAAGTAGAGTTATTTCTTTAAAATAACTGTAACTTGCCATTTCCATCCAGGAAGCTTTTTCAATTCCAAATGTCAGGAATAGCATTGAGTTTGAGGTTCTATATAGTGTCCAAACAAGCTCTGTTTTCGTTTTGAAAACATGCAAATTGACTAGGACAAAGGGGCTTTGGAATGAGGGTCGTTTGGCTTCTTTTGTTAGCCTGCAATGCCTGATACCTGTCTAAGTGTCTGAAAAGTTGGTAATTAAAGGAAATTGTTGGCCTGGCCTTGCCTATTCAGCCAGTTTTTCCTTCACTTAACAGCAACTTATTTTAATCAAACCATGTTTTCAAATCATGCAATTCCAGCAGTCATAACCTGTCAGCTTTCATGGACTTTGGAGCTGATACTGAGTTCATGGACGGGGACTTTGCCAGACATCTAGGTATTAAGCTTCTTCTTTCATCGGATTCCCAAAAGGTTTTAGCCTTGGATGGCCATCGGATGGATTGATCCTCCCACATGACTGAACCAGCTGAAGTCTTGGTGGGTGGTAACCATGTTGAACATATGTCTTTTCTGATCATGGATTCAGCTCGGGTCTCTGTAATGTTTGGTTTAACCTGGTTAAAGAAACATAACCCTCACATAGACTGGCAAAAAGGGAGGATTTGGGCTGGGCTACCTCCTGTTCAGGTCCAATCTTATGCTCTGCTAAGTCTGTATTGTCAGCCGAAAAGAAGGAGGATTACTTTTATCCTGACCTGTCTAAGGTTCCAGAGGAATATCATGGCCTCAAAGAAGTTTTCAATAAAAGTAAGGCTACTGCTTTACCTCTGCATAGACCAACCGATTGGGGGATCAGCTTACTGCCAGCTACTATACCCCTGAGCGGAAGGTTATATTCTTTGTTGAATCACAAGCCATGGAGAAATATATCTCCGATTTGTGGTTTTCTCAGACCAGACATAGACTACAGAAGAATCAATATCCCATTCCACTAAACAATTCAACTCTTGACCAGATTCAGGTTGCTAAAATATTCACTAACCTGGACCTCAGCAATGCATACCATTTGGTACGAATCCGTGAGGGTGATGAGTGTATGACAGCTTTCAGTACTCCTACTGGACTCTATGAGTATCTAGTCATGCCTTTGATTTCACTAAACCTCCAGCTGTCTTCTTGGTTAAGTGGGACAATTTGTGTTTGTCTATTTAGACAACATTATCATTTATTCTTTTGACCTGGAGTCCCTATTTTTTTTTTGGACGTTTAACTTTTCTCTTTCTTATAGACCTGGGACCAAGAATGTTAACCCTGATGCCCTGTCCAGGGTGTTTGAGGTGGAGGAGGGAAGTTCTGGTGGTGCAGAGGAATTTGTGTTACCAGAGTCTGTAAGATGTTCTATCATTGTGGTCAACCTTGAGAAGCAAGTCAAAAAGGCTCTCCATAATCAGAATTCCCAAATAGATTGTCCTAATGATGGCTTGTTTGTTCCTGGTGCTTTAAGAAAGAAGGTCTTAGAGTTTTCTCACAGTTCCCACTTTTTTTTGCCACCCTGGTGTGTCCCAAG